TAAAGAAAGCAAGTGGTCCAGTTTATAGAATTATTCTTTAACTTCATGTTCCCACTGATCATGTCTGTGAGCAATCACCATGTTAACTTCAAAAAACTAGTTGGGAAGTGTTCCCTCTTTGTATCTTCTCTGGAATAGTTGTATAAACTTGGCATTATTGACTCCTTACATGTTTAGCAGAATCTGGTCGTTAGTAAAGGTGTCTAGGAATGGAGTTTAATGGAAGATTTGAATTACAAATTCAGTTTCTTTAATAATTTTAGGACCATTTATGTTTTCAATTTCTTCTAGTGTCAATTTTGGTAAGTTGTATTTTCATGGAAAATTCTCCATTTTATTTACATTTTTATACTTGCCATTAAGTCTTTGATAATAGCCATCAAGGGAAAATGCTTAGAAGTGTATTTTTGAAGGAGAAAAATACATTGAAAATTTATGCAGCGGGGTGTGGTGGCACATGTCTGTAATCCCAGCAATTTAGTAAACTAAGGCAGAAGGATCACAAGTTTGAGGATAGCCTCAGCAACTTCCTGAGGTCTTAAGCAACTTATTGAGACCCTGTCTCAAAATAAAAAAGGGCGGTCATTTGGCTGGGGTCAATCCCAGTACCAAGAAGGAAAAAAAAAAGTTTATGCTATAAAATATAGCTTAATGGTAGAGCACTTGCCTAACATGTGCAAAGCCCTGGGTTCTAGTTCCAGTACCACCTGAATGAATGAATGAATGAATGAATGAATATTTTAAAAATTTTATTTTATAGATAGGGTGTTATTTAATCACTTTAGTTTTATTTAAAAATTTAACAGATAACATTGTATGTTTTTATTGTGTACAGCATGTTTTGAAGTCTATACATTCTTGAATGGTTAAATCAAGTTAACAAATGTAGTACTGCCCACAGTTGTCAATTTTGTGTTAAGAACACATAATACCACCCTACCCTTTATACATTTTCAAGAATTCTGTGTACATAGTTAATTGTAGTCACCTTACTATATCTAAATATTTTGAAGTTTGTTTCTCCTAACTGTAATTATGTATCCTTTGACTGATATCTCCCCATTCTTCATTCCCCCCTAACCACTGTGGCCTCTGGTAATTACCATATACTCTCTATTTCTAAGAGATCATCTTTTTAAATCTCACATGAGTGAAATCATGTAGTATTTGTCTTTCTATGCTGGGTTTATTCCACATAATGCCCTCCAGTTTTATTCATGTTATAACAAATGTCAGGATTTCATTTTTGTTTCAGTAGTTGAATAGTATTCAGTTGTATATTGTATACCACATTTTCTTTTTCCATTTATCTAATGATGACACTTAGACTGAAAAGCTACTACATAATAAAGGAAATAATCTACAGCAACAACCTATAGAATGGGAGAAAACCTTTGCAAATTATAAATTTAACAGGGGTCAATATCCACAGTATATAAGGACTTCAAACAATTATATAGCAAAAATACAAATAACTCAATTTAAAAATGGACAGAAGACCTGGATAGACATTTGTCAAAAGAAAATACACAAATATACAATTGTCTTAACTATTGTGAATAGCACTGCCATAAACATTGAAGTATGGATCTCTTTGACATCATACTGACTTTATATCCCATGGGTATATACCTAGCAGTGGGATTGCTGTATCATATGATAATCTTTAGAGGAACCTCCACACTGTTTTTCATTATGATTCTACTAATATACATTCCCACGAAGTGAGAAAGAGTTCCCTTTTCTTTACATCCTTGCCAATACTTATTCTTTATCTTTTTAATAATAATCATTCTAATTGGAGCACAGTGATATTGTGTGTGTGTGTGTGTGTGTGTGTGCGCACGCTTGCTTCTTCCTTGTTAATTTTTGTGGTGCTAGGGATCATACCTAGGGCCTTGTATGCGTTAGGCAAGCCCTATGCCACTGAGCTACATCCCCTACCCCTCATTGTGGTTTTGATTTCTATTTTCCTGTTGATTAGTGTTGTTGAACATTTTTCATATGCCTGTTGGCCATTTGTATATTTTCTTTGGAGAAACGTCTATTCAGGTCTTCTGTCCATTTTTAAATTGAGTTTTTTTTTGTATTTTTACTATATAGTTGTTTGAAGTCCTTATACACTGTGGGTATGACCCCTGTTAAGTTTATAATTTGCAAATATTTTCTCCCATTCTATAGGTTGTTGCTGTAGATTATTTCCTTTATTGTGTAGGAGCTTTTTAGTTTGAAGTAATCCCTTTTGTCAATTTTTGCTTCTGTTGTCTGTGCTTTTAAAGATTTATTCCCAATATCCTTGCTCAGACCAATGTCATAGAGCATTTCCTCAGTTTTGTATTTTTCCTTTATACTGAAGATCTTAATTTTTATGGCATTAGCATAATTGTTTATTTGCTTTATCTGTAACTTGTGTATATGTTAAGTTTCAAAATATTGTCAATATTAAATTTAAAAAAAATATTTTTTGTCTTAATGTTAAATATATCCAAAATTCTAAAGTCAAAACTGTAAAACCAAAGTATAGAGAGAAAATCTAAATTTCTTCTCATTTTCTCCTGGTATTTTTTGGAGGTTGGGGGGAACAAATGTATAATCAAGTATGTGTATGTGAGTGTATGTATATATAATCTCCATGTATATATGTGTTTATTTATATTTCTTTTCCTAGTTTGTTTTCCATATTTCTTACACAAAATATCTTTACATACTCTTTGTACCTGGCTTTTTTTTTTACTTAATAGTGTATCTTAAATGTTGCATTTGACAACATTCAGAGATCTTTTTTGTTCCTTTTTTTTGACAGCCTAGTACTTCGTTATTTGGGTATATCATAACTTTATTCAACCAGTTTCCTTTCCTGTTGATGGAGATGTGAGGAAATAATAACTTTTTAAAATTATTTTTTAAATTTATATATGACAGCAGAATGCATTATAATTCTTATTACACATATAGAGCACAGTTTTTCATATCTCTGGTTGTATACAAAGTATATTCACACCAATTTGTGTCTTCATACATGTACTTTGGATAATAATGTCCATCACATTCCACCATCATTTCTAACCCCATGCCCCCTCCCTTTCCCTTTCACCCCTCTGTCCTATCTAGAGTTCATCTATTCCTCCCATGCTCCCTCTTCTTATCCCACTATGAATCAGCCTCCTTATATCAGAGAAAACATTCAGCATTTGTTTTTTTGGGATTGGTTAACGTCACTTAGCATTATCTTCTCTAACTCCATCCATTTACCTGCAAATGCCATGATTTTATTCTCTCTTATTGCTGAGTAATATTCCATTGTGTATATATGCCACATTTTTTAATCCATTCATCTATTGAAGGGCATCTTGGTTGGCTCCACAGTTTAGCTATTATGAATTGTGCTGCTATAAACATTGATGTGACTGTGTCCCTATAGTATGCTGTTTTTAAGTCCTTTGTGTATAGACCGAGGAGAGGGATAGCTGTGTCAAATGATGTTTCCATTCCCAATTTTCCAAGAAATCTCCATACTGCTTTTCATATTGGCTGCACCAACTTGCAGTCCCACCAGCAGTGTATGAGTGTACCTTTTTCCCCTCATCCTTGCCAACACTTATTGTTGTTTGTCTTCATAATAGCTGCCATTCTGACTGGAGTGAGAGGGAATCTTAGTTTTGATTTGCATTTCTCTAATTGCTAGCAATGTTGAATTTTTTTCATATATTTGTTGATTGATTGTATATCATCTTCTGAAAAGTGTCTATTCAGGTCCATGGCCCATTTATTGATTGGTTTTTTTTTGGATGTTTAGCTTTTTGAGTTCTTTATATACCCTTGTGATTAGTGCTCTATCTGATATGTGAGGGGTAAAGATTTGCTCCCAAAATGTAGGCTCTCTATCCACCTCACAGATGGTTTCTTTTGCTGAGAAGAAACTTTTTAGTTTGAGTCCATTCCATTTATTGATTCTTTTTATATTTTTTAGTTTTCGGCGGACACAGCATCTTTGTTTGTATGTGGTGCTGAGGATCAAACCCGGGCCGCACACATGCCAGGCGAGCACGCTACCGCTTGAACCACATCCCCAGCCCCCATTTATTGATTCTTGTTTTTAATTCTTTCGCCAAAAGAGTCTTATTAAGGAAGTTGGGGCTAATCCCACATGATGGAGATTAAGGCCTACTTTTTCTTTGGAAATAGTAACTTTTAAAAAAATATTTTCCATTCTGGAGACCAGAACATTGTTGCATGGATTAGGACAAGTATTTAACCTAATATTAACAGCATATTAATTTTAAACTTTTTTATTTCTATATCCCTGTAAACATTTATTTTGTAATATGGTATGCATCAATGTGTAGTGTGCTGGGGACTGAATATATTTTTTAATTGGGGAGATAAATTATTATTAAATTATTTTAAAATGATTTCTCCAGGTGGTTTTAGTAAGGTAAGCCCCAAACTTGTGGCCTTTTCATTATACAGATGCCTTTGTGTAACTTAAAAGACCTCTATTTCTAATGGTATTATTTTCACCCTTCAGTGTATAGTTCAATTTAATCTCATTAATTTTTCACTCAGGTAATAGGACTCATCATCTTTATAACACCTCAAAGACATTCTCATTATAATTTTTCAGGTTTATAGATGATAGATCTATTGTTATTATAGATCTGTATTACCTCATTTAATCCTTAAAACAACTTTATGTGATAAAAATTATTATGCTTATATCATATGTTAAAAATGAGAGCATAGAGAGTTTATGAAATTTAAGTTCTCATATCCAGTAAGTGGAAAATTTGAGATTTAACCAGGTAGTATGAGTCCAGAACCTGGTCTCTTAATCAGTATAAACAAAAGTCATGATTATTATTTTTTTCCCTTTCTCAGAATGACATGAACCAAAAAGATCTTGTTTAAGTAATTGTAAGATATTTGACTGTTGAACTAATGGGCTCACCCTGACCAAGTAAGAGGTAATGTTAATTTTGTTGTTGTTGTTGTTCTTTTAGCTGATATAGCCCAGAGATATAGGATAAGCAAATACCCAACCCTCAAATTGTTTCGTAATGGGATGATGATGAAGAGAGAATACAGGGGTCAACGATCAGTGAAAGCACTTGCAGATTACATCAGGCAACAAAAAAGTGACCCCATTCAAGAAATTCAGGACTTAGCAGAAATCACCACTCTTGATGTAAGTTAACTTTTTCTAGATCAAATGACATTTCCTGTTTAGTTGATGTAAACAAATTCTAATGCAAACAAAGGATCTGGACATTCTCTTATATTCATTGCAATGGATTTGAAAAGTACATACTTATTGGGTTGAATTTTTCTTGAGTTAATTATCAAGAAAAGTGCTAATGTTTTACTGAACTTATAGATAAAGTATATAGCATACAGTAAAATTGCTCTAATTTGAATTAATTGCGAGCAATGTGATAGAAGTTAAAGTCAAATATACATAGCCAAAGTTACCATATTTTTTGTAGTGGAAACTTTCAGGTCTCCACTGCTTTAATTACTTCTTTGTCAGGTCTCTCTGTAAGTTTTAGTGTCTTCTAGAATAGGCCCCACTTAGTAAAACCCTTTCTTTGTACACTAAGTAGTGTTTTTAAAATAGTATACAACAAACAGAAGAAAAACAACAAAGTTTGGACTTTGTTACAGTCACTGATTGTCACTACCAACTTTGAAATTTGATTTTATTCTACCTACAAACTAATAAATTAGTTGCCATTTCATGGATGCTGTCAGAAGACTGAAGACTTCTGGGTCAGAGACAAAGGACTTTATTATTCACATCAAAGCAAACAGTGTGAGCATGTTTGTATTTTCCTTTTCCCCAAATCCTATGGAGGTAGCACAAAAGGCCTAGATAAATAGCTGCACATGTAGTGGGTTACATTACAAGAGGGAAACTCACTGTTTCAAAGCAAGCTTTTTGTAATTCTGCTTTTTGTATAGGATGAAGTCATTACTTCATACTCAGTGAAGCTCCCTGCAAGCACAGCCCTGAGAAATGTCCTGGGTATAGAGTGATTAGAATCTTTAATTGTGACACATACAGTAAAATGTTTAAAGAGTTTGAAAGACCTGTGGAGGAGTATCTATCAACAGTCACAAGTTATGAGTTGTTGTGCTGTTTTAACAGATTTTAGAATTATATAATTTTGGAAAAGAATGTCACTGATAAAATAGTTATATTTCTTGAAAATTTAAAACAAAATGCTGCTAGGCATGATGGCTTATTCTTATAAACCAAATAATTCAGGAGATTGGGCAGAAGGATCACAAGTTTGAAGCCAGCCTCGGCAACTAAGCACAACCCTTTCTCAAAATAAAAAAGGGATGGGGATGTAACTCAGTGGTAAAGTATCCTTGGGTTCAATCCTCATTACTACTAAAATAAATAAATAAACAACAAAAGATAAAATGCTAGACAGAAATGTTTGTAGTTGTTTTTTATTGTAATTAAGATTGTTTAAAGCCCAATGTGATCTTTAAAAATTTTGGATTGGGTGTTAAAAGGTAAAATATACATTTATGGTTTATACTTCAGTTGAGACAGCTGGAGCTGTTTGGTTATCAGAATCATGGGTAAATGAAATAGCATGCTCAAGGAACTATAGTTTTTGCAAAATAATTAGATACCTTTTTTTTACAGCGCAGCAAAAGAAATATCATTGGATATTTTGAGCAAAAGGATTCAGACAACTATAGAATTTTTGAAAGAGTAGCAAGTATTTTGCATGATGATTGTGCCTTCCTTTCTGCATTTGGGTAAGTATTTTAGTTGAGAGTATATTTAGTGGGTCAGCTTGGCTGCCATGTTAAGTTCTCATTATGTTTGGTCACTTTGGGAAGATGACATCTCCAAAGTTATCTTGGTCCTCTTAAGTTACTAATAGTCTTTGTATCTGTCTCTGAATTCTTTTTTAAGGGTTTAAAAGTCTGTTTATTCTTTTCTAATATAGTCTATTCACTTTGTGAGTAAGAGGAAAAGAATGAGCCAGTTAACAGTGAAGTAATTCTAGCTTTTATTCAGCTCATTTATTGCACCTACCCTATGGCAAAATGGCAGCATTATTGTTGACAAACATGGGGTTCATTGTCTTTGTTCATTTGTCTCTCTACCACCTTTTCTTGTCTTAGAGGAACAAATCTTTTTTTTCTTATTTTTTTATGCTGATGTTCAAAACTGGGCCTTTATACATGCTAAGAATATGCTAAACTACACCCCCAAGCTCAACAATTCTCCTTTCTAATGCTAACCTGTTCACTGTTGTCCTTGTAACTATCCCTCTGGGGCTTTGATTATCAGTTGTCCTTGCTTTCTTGAGTTTTCACCCCGACTCTTCATGAACTGCTTTCCTTTTTTGAAAACATGCTTCTCTTTCCTGACCCACTACTTTTATCTCTCAAACTATGGTCTTATCTCTTTCTTTTTATTCCCACATTTTCCAAAGATCAGTGTATGCTGGTGAATAAAAACTTTGATTTCTTGAAAGCTGACTTTTACCTCCATCCCTCCATGAAACTTGTCTCTGCTCAGTTGCAAAATGACTGCTTAATCCACCAAATTCTGTGACCCTTTTTCAGTCTTAATCCCTTCCTTTTCTCCTTTTCTTTCTCTGCTGTGTCAACACCTTACGTTGAATCCCTCTTAGTTGATTTTTACCTTTCTGATATTTCTGACTTATTTTCTTTTTTGTTCTTTTTCTTTCCAAATGAAATCGTGGTTCTCTCCTTGATCCTCTCTTCTTCTTGGTAGTTATCTCAGCCATCCTTTGACTTTAATACAGTTCTTTTTTATTGTTGGCCCATAACTGTTAAGCTCAATTATAGTAGCTATTGATTCTAGCTCAGTATATCTTCTTCATTTTCTGACTTTATCCTTTTCCTTGCTTTAATGCTTTTGTAGATTTTGTTTGTGTGTATGTTTTATTGTTAGTATTTTCCATGTTTTTTTAGAGATCACTGTAAGAGTGATCTTCACTGTACAGAGTATTCAGAGGGGAAACTCCCTTTACCCCAACCCTTTTAATATCACTGCTTTCCAGCTGTACAGGCCTCCTGGCTGTTTCTTAGATTCTGCAGGCTCACTTCTACCACAGAGCCTTTGCCCTTGCTGATCCTGTATCTCTCAGAGGTCCTTTTCCTGATAACCATATGTAGAGAAAGCATGTCAATTTATTTTTCTTCATAGCATTCTTTCTTAACCACTCTTTTTAAAAAATATATGTACTCATTCAGACCATCTTTCCTCACCAAAATGTAAACTCTATGAGAGTGGGGATTTATAAGTTTTGTTTGCTGCTGTATATATCTAGTGCCACTATCATACTTTATACAAAGGAAGTGCATAATAAATAGTTATTGAATGAATGAATGAACTATGTTTGTTCTTTCTGTTCTTGCTGGTCATTAGTGTAGGTTAGCACCCTTTTCCCCATCTCCTAGACTACTTTAGTCAGAAACTAGAGATAAATTATTGTTTAATTAATCTTAAAATAATTAGGTGTTATCAATTGTCTTAGTAGTGTTTACTGTAGAATTCTCTCACCAGATATTTATCACATACATATTATGTGCCACATACTATACAAGGCCCAGGAAACAGAATTGGACAGATTTTTAAAAATTACTTTGTTATGGAACTTTATTTTCATGATGTAGATTATTTTAATTCATCTGTTTTAGACCTATTTTTTAGAGTAAGGAGTAATAAATTTGTGATTGAATCTGACTTATAAACAAATAACATATATTTGTTTTATTAATGTTTAATTTAATTAATGTCCTTGATTCATAGTTAAAAAACAGTCTGGTGTCAGGACAGCTTTAGTGCTAAAACTTCCAATCTAAATTTATAAACTGCTAGCCATAAAAATAGCTAACTAAAAGATTCCTTTAAAAAGTCTGCCTCAGATTAAATTTTTCTTTTAAAATGTATACTTTTCTTGGTATTGCACGGTCTTAAGAGAAAGATGGTGGACAGGTATATATTTCAAGTCTTTATAGTTCATGCATTGCGAAATAACCAGCGTATTCTACTCCATTCAGGTGTCTTACTGCTAGGATTTTTCTTAAAATGTTATTACTGTTTTTCCCTTCCTGTTAGGGATGTTTCAAAACCAGAAAGATATAGTGGAGACAACATAATCTATAAACCACCAGGGGTAAGTTGCTATTTCTTTTTTTCTTTAATATTCTTTTTAGCTGTAGTTGGATATGATACCTTTATTTATTTATTTTTATGTGATGCTGAGGATTGTACCCAGTGCCTTATGTGCACTGGGTGTGTGCTCCACCACTAAGCTACAACCCCAGCCCCATAAGTTGCTATTTCTTAGTGTGTAAATACATCTGTAGTATAACCTATAGTTTTATATTTTTGAATGTTTGTGGAATCATAGAAACTTAGAATAGAAAGGAACTTAGAAGCACTATCTTTTGCCAATCCAAATGTTTCAAAACTACAGAAGCCTAAAGTCACACAGGCATTTATTGACAGAACTAGGATTAGGGATACCCTGATCTCTTTGGCTCTTAGAGCCACATTCAAAATATGCTTCAGTGGTCCATGATTGTCACTCTTAGTTGGATTGTACTGGCCAAATTCCTAGATCTTCTAGGGCATAAATTAATCTGGCAAGAAGGAACAGCTAGGTTGTTCTAAGTCTTGGCTAAGAAATTTTAAGTGTATCTAAATGTAAAAGTAACTGTTTAGGCCCACAACTAAGAGGAAAGAATTACAGTTTGTGTTATTTCAAATCGACCCAAAGGTCTGTCATTGCAGTTTTTTTTTTTTTAATAACATACATACAAATAGAAATCTGTGGCCATTTTTTCATTTTGATGATTTCATTTAAATGTTGCTCGCAGTATTTTGACATTGAAATTTAAAATTTTTATTTATTTGGACAATTTTTTTTGTTTGTTTCTGGCTTAGAAAACTTGTTTCCTCTTCTGAAGTCAAAACAAGAATTAGTGTTTTAGTTTATTTTCTGTTGATGTAACAAAATGCCTGAAGTTAGGTACTTTATAAAGAAAAGAAGTTTATTTAGCTTACAGTTTTAGAGGCTGGAGATCCAAGATTGGTGGCCTCATTGGTTTGGTCTTTGGTGAGGGCCCTTTTGGTTTTGTCACACATGGTAAAGGAACAGAAAGGGGAATAGCCACCTGATTTTATGGTGAGACAGGAAACCACAGACTGGTTGCTCTTTTTATAACAACTTCTCTCATAAAATCTAAACAGGGTCCTAGAATAACTACATTAATTTCTTCCTAGGACAGGGTCCCCAGTGACCTCTTTATCTTCTACCACTCCACCTGTTAAAAGGCTCTACCACCACTTATATTGAAGCACAGGACCAAAGTTCCAGCAAACAGACTCTTGGAACATACTCAAACCATATTCCAACCATGGCAGATGTGTATTTGCCTGTATTATCAGCAAATTCATTTCTTTAATAATACTTTACATAGTATCATCATAAAATTATCAAAAACCAGCCTAGTATCTCCCAATGTAATATGGTCCTTAAGAGCACAGGCTCTGTCTGGTATTAGACTGACTAGGGTTGAATATCAAAGCTGCCACCTTCTAGGTATGTTCTTCTGGAAAAGTTTCTTAGCTTCTCTGTGCTTCAGTTTGTTTTTAGTAAATCGGGGATGGTAATACTTGCCATATCAGGCTATTTGGAGGATTTAAATGAATCAGCACATTTTAAATGCCTAAAATAGTGCTTGACATAGGAATGTTACTCGGTTAATGTTGGTTATTATTTTTATCGTCATGTTAGACACTTCATAAAAATTGATTTTGAATGAATGTGGAAACAATTTTGTAGGTAATTAATTTTAGAGATACCCATCTCTTAGATCTGTGTAGCATCTTTTACAGGCTTTTTCACTATCCAAATTTTCTTCTAACATTTTTAACTTTTAAGGAATAGCTTAATTTATTCATACAGATAATTTTTCTTCTCAAAATGCTCGCCTGCCTTTGGTGAAGATACTTGTAGTTAATTATCTTAAATCCAAGGGAAAGCAGAAGGTTTATACGTCATAGGTTGTATTATCAAGTTCCTGATAATCACAGAATTATCTTTTTTAACCATCTATGACCTTCTTTCTCAGAAGTTCCATGTTTTATGTTTCTTTTATATCTCCTGTTGATTTTCTGGGTTCATATGTGCATTTTAAAAATGTGTTTTTGTCAGCACAGGTTAGTTTACTTGATTTATTTATTTTTTTTCCCCTGTTTTTATTACAGCATTCTGCTCCAGATATGGTGTACTTGGGATCTATGACAAATTTTGACCTGACTTACAATTGGATTCAAGATAAATGTGTTCCTCTTGTCCGAGAAATAACATTTGAAAATGGAGAGGTATGGGCTTTTGTGTGTGGTGTGTGTGTGTGTGTGTGTGTGTGTTTTATATGTGTGAACGAACAAACTTTCTCTGCCCTTGTGCTATTTTAATACAGTTTCCAGTTGTAAAAATTACACAGTGAACACAATTGTATTGAAGCTATTTCCATAATATATAGGCCAGTAATTTTCCACTTCTGCTATCCCAGAACCCCTCTGTTGCAGTAATGAATAGTTCAGTGTAGGTTTGAAAATACTTGGATAACTCTGATACCAACCCATTGGTTGAGGGTCCTTGTTAAAATGGATGGTCTTTAGAAACAATGCTTTGTGAATTTGAGTTACAGTGAATAATCTTTTACCATTAAAAGGTTTTTTGGTTCCTGTCTTCTTAAAAGAAATAGAAACAATTGAATTGTTAATCTTCATCTTTTACATTTTGATCTTATCCTTGATTTTGAAAGAGAGGGTAGATTAGACTCTTTCACTCTTTCAGCATATAGTTTATTAAATGAATAAATGTCCCTGGTTCTTTTCTCAGTTCTGTAATCCTCATATGTATTTAGCTGAGTAACTTACATTTTTTTTTTTTTATTACATTAGCTCATGTAGTCATCAGAGGCTCAAAAATTTTTGTATTCTTTTGTGTGTGTGTGTGGGGGGGTCAGTTCTTATAGGAGTTATCTCAAACAGAATTCAAAGATTTAGACCTGGAAAGTCTTAAAACAGTGTCTCGCCTTTCCTCATGTGGTAGTTGGCACATTTAATAATTCTTGAGACTTACTGTATGTTGTAACCAACCAGCTATAAGTCACTTAAAGATTTGCTTCATTAAACTGGTTGTCTTAATATCTTCCTGAATCTTATAAAATTTGTGTGGTAAAGAAAATGCTGGTGTGGGCACAGATTAATTAGGAAGCTAAGGAAGTATAAATTATTAGCTACTATGTAAATATTTGACTTTAGCAAATTAATTGACATATATGTTTTCCACTACTAATCTATTGTTCATACTTTAAAAAATAATGCAGTCCTTTTTTAAAAAAAGATTTTTGGATATTGACAGAGCTTTATTTTATTCATTTATTTATATGTGGTGCTGAGAATTGAACCCCGTGCCTCACTCATGCTAGGCAAGTGGCCTACCACTGAGCCACAACCGCAGCCCCCATCCATACATTTCTTGAGTCTAATAAAATACTATACATGCTTTTACTTTTACTCTCCTGGCTCTTAAATTTCCTCAGAAGTAACTGCTGAGTCTTCTTTTTGAATTTATTCAGTAATATCCGTTTTTTCATTTTTTTGTCATTTGTTGATTGAATATTATTGTGTACAAAAATCTGTGAGGAAAAAAAAAGAGAAATAAGATTGTCTTCAGGCGCGTGGGGCTGCAGGCCCGAGAGCTGCCCTGGCTGCCACTAACATGGAGACTTTCTACCGGGTCCCGTTCTTAGTGCTCGAATGTCCCAACCTGAAGCTGAAGAAGCCGCCCTGGGTGCACATGCCGTCGGCCATGACGGTGTACGCTCTGGTGGTGGTGTCTTATTTCCTCATCACCGGAGGAATAATTTATGATGTTATTGTTGAACCTCCGAGTGTTGGCTCTATGACTGATGAACATGGGCATCAGAGGCCAGTAGCTTTCTTGGCCTACAGAGTAAATGGACAATATATCATGGAAGGACTTGCATCCAGCTTCCTGTTTACAATGGGGGGTTTAGGTTTCATAATCCTGGATCGATCCAATGCACCAAATATTCCAAAACTCAATAGATTTCTTCTTCTATTCATTGGATTCGTCTGTGTCCTACTGAGCTTTTTCATGGCTAGAGTATTCATGAGAATGAAACTGCCGGGCTATCTGATGGGTTAGAGTGCCTTTTGAGAAGAAATCAGTGGATTCTGGATTTGCTCCTGTTGATGAAGTTTTAAAGGCTGTACCAGTCCTCCACTATGAAATGTGGAAAAGAATAAAAAGCAGCAGTAAAAGAAGTATCAAGTGAAAACATAGGAAGTATATGAAAGCTTGGACTAGAATTTCTTGGTATCAGAGACAAGTTTATCACAGTATTTTTTTCCTGCTGACCTGTTGTACCAACGATGTTAAGTGTCATTTTCTTAGTTTTTCATTTCGTATATATACTGTTCTTCTAAAATTATAATATTGAATAAATGATTATTTTTTACAACCCCCTTTAACATTTTTTGGAGATATTTCTGATTTTCAGAAATTAATGTAAAATCAGGAAGCAAGATCTCTGAGAACTCTTGAGAACTGAGAACTCTGGACTGCTGATCCGCTTCACTGATGGTGCTTTGCCTTTAAACAGTGTGTGTGATAGTACGTTATTTCACATATGTGTGCAAGACTGTTTCCTCAACAGTAAGATGTATGAAAGGAGCAGAAATAAATAATTTTTCTAATTAAAAAAAAAAAAAAAAAGATTGTCTTCAAGGGGCTTTCAATCCATTATTCTGAGTGTACAGATAACATCAGTAAATACATGCCCTGTACCACATGCGGATCACTGAGAAAATGTTCTTGGAGTTTACAAGAGAGCATTCATTTCTACCTTTAGAGATGGGGCAGAATCTAGGAATGCTTTCAAGAAGAGGCATTCAGCCCTGAAATGAAGTGCTAAAGGAAATGGAGGATTAGGAGGAGGGGTTGGAGAGGAGAGGACTGTGCATTAATTTGTTTAAGGTGGTGATTAGACTGATAGGGAGATATTAAGCAGGTAGCGGGAAACCTAGGCTTAAATTATGGATTGGAGCTAGGCTTTTATATAGCTAAGGGACCAGTTAGAACTGGTGATTGAAGTTGTTGAACTAGGTGAGGTGCTTCAACTAGAGCAGAAACCATGGGGAGTAGTGTCAGTTAATGAGTGGGAGAAAGAAAAAATGTGATCCCAAGAAATAAAAGATGAGAAAGAAGACATTTTAAGTTAGCTTACCAAAAGTTAATGTGACACCAGGGCCTGGGAGATGGGGAAAATGGGGAATGACTGCTAACAGGTACAGGGTTTTTGTTTGTTTGGGAGCGATAAAAATGGTCTGGAATTAATGGTGATGTTTGCACAACTGTGTAAATGTAATAACCACCAAACTGTGCACTTAAAAATGGTGAATTTTATGGTATGTAAACCATATCTCAATTCAAATAACACTCAGTTTTTCATAAATGTGGCAAGAAACTTAATAATATGTCCTATGTACAAGTGAAACAGGCTTAAACATGGGAATAGGAACCAGAAGGAAACATTTGTCCTAGAAGGTAGGTCCTAGTTTATTTTTTTAGGATAAAGATCATTTTTGCTTTATACTAAAGCAGTTACTAAATTAGAGAGATTCTCAAAAGGATAGCTAATAGAAATAATTCTGTCATTGAGTCCCTTTTTGAACTCCGTGAGTGAGAACTTAACATTTGTTAGGGAGAATAAATGATTAAAATCCTATTTGTCCATCATACTTGTATTCTCCACTAACAATAAGATTTTGTACTATAGTGTGTGTATATATTAGGGGGGTTGTAAAAAATACATCTATATAGGGGTAGGTATTTGTTAATAATGTTGGTAAATTGTGTATTGGTTGAAAACTGACTATATTATGGAGTGTTTTTTGTTTGTTACTCTAAATAAAACACTTTTTGGCTTTGGATAGTTCTCATATAAGTGGAATGATTTTTGTAATAAACCTTAAAATAAGTGTAAGTTTGCTTACTTATTGCTTATACACTCAGTTTTTCAGTTTTGCCTGTGAAGAATGAAAAGATATATCATGTTTACTCCTAAATTGTCATCATGATAAAGAACTAGCATAGTTCTTTCTTTGGTCAACTCCAAATGCCACAGCGTGAGTTGGGTGCTCCCTAATACCCCCACATGCAATACTAGCTAAAGGATCAGCCAAGGGAGTTTGATCAGTCCTGCGACAGAGCAGGGCAAGTGGGTCTGGAGTGTCTGGGTACTTGGGGTGGAGAAGATGTGAATTCATTCTTCCTTTAGGGCTTATATTTATTTACACCTTCAGACTTTTCCCCCCTGAAATATTGCAACTATTTTGTTACATGGGTTGGGCAGAGGGTTGTTCCTCTAAAGAAAATAGCTGGAACTAATGATTCTTATTTAATGCATCTCTCTGCAGGAATTGACAGAAGAAGGACTGCCTTTTCTCATACTCTTCCACATGAAAGAGGATACAGAAAGTTTAGAAATATTCCAGACTGAAGTAGCCCGGCAATTAATAAGTGAAAAAGGTAGACAGATTAAGGTGTTTATTTTCATCCTTTCTTTCTCTTTTTGATCTTTCTCCCTACCCTTCCCATTACATTTATATCCACATAAACATTTGGGTTAAAAGCTTAACAAGTGTTGGGCATAGTGGTGCACTTCTGTTTATGTTTCCTGCAGCATGTTTATTTTAGAAAAATCAAAGAGCTTGAAAAGTAGGGTCTTGGGTCAACAAAATTAGTTTATCTTTTCCCTGTGTTTAGATGCTTGTCTGACATCTTTTCTAATAGACAATTCCAGAGATATTACTGATTCACACTAATTTTTCAATGGAAGAAAGTTGAGTAGCCATCCAGATTTCTCAAAAATATCTAAACAGAATTTGAGGCATCAACAGCTTCCCCTCTGTGATTAGGGAAGAAAGTCAAATAAAATAACAGCACTATATGAAGCTACCCATTAGTCACTTAGTAAATATTTTTGAGGTTGAATTAAATTAAAAATCTGCCAGTAGGGGCTGTAAGGAGCTGGAATGAAGATGATCTTTTGGGAACAGTTCATGTATCTTTGTAGGAACTCCCTGCCCAGACCTGGATAATCTTCAGAGCTAATGATTGCCCACTTAAAGAAAATAAAAAGTTCACCATAATATTTGAGTTTTTAAAATCATTTCTAAGGAAATTATACTCTCTACCCTGAAAATTAGAATTAAAATCCTACCTCTTTTTTAAATGTTATAGTATTTAGATTTTAGTTTTTCTGATCTGTTACTCAAAAGAATATTTTTGTTTGTTTGTTATGTCATTTTTTGTTTATAATCATACGAGAATACAATGAAGAAATTCTAATCTATTCAAAATTTTATTTCTTTCAAAGGTACAATAAACTTTTTGCATGCAGATTGTGACAAATTTAGACATCCTCTTCTGCATATACAGAAAACTCCTGCAGATTGTCCTGTAATAGCTATTGACAGCTTTAGGCACATGTATGTTTTTGGAGACTTTCAGGATGTATTGTAAGTATTCATTTTGCTTTTTAAAAAATTACTGATATTTGTCTCAAAATTGAATTTAAAACAATTGTTTTAATATTTCAAATAATCCCATGTTGTAACAGTAATATTTGTTAATTGGGTTGAAGAAGTTGGACTGAACTTCTTTTTACTATACAGCATGGAATAATTGACTATGAGAATTTTGATAGATCCTTGTAGATGCACCAGTATTAAATTATTGGGATTTGTGAGTAATGTTGGGGTGATTGATGATTAATGCTTTGGAACTAATCTCTGAAAGAAAATTTATGTTCTGTGAAAAATTAGCTTTGCATTGAGTTTGGTCTTTATCAGCCCACACCAAGGAAATCAGTTATAATCCTAGGTTAGGTTAAAGGAAGTTGGTAATATTCCTTTTCACTTGTGACTCCACCTAGCAAGAACTTTAGGAATGTGTGTATGTGTGTGTGTGTGTGTGTGTGTGTGTGTCACAATTTTGTTCTCTCTAGGTAATTCTAGTGGCATACTATGAAACTAGTATGAACCTTTCCAAGAATAGGTAAAGTTTCTGGCTCTATTCTCAGATGTTCATAGTATGAAAATAAATGTGTAAGCCTTTTAATTGCTACAGGTACTGAATATTTATCACCTTTCAGAGATGTTAAAGACAATGATTAAAAATGGAACTATTTCTTTTTTAAAATTATTTTTATTTTAGAAAAAAATTTATAGTTGTAGATGGACAGATGCCTTTATTTTATTTGTTTATTTTTATGTGGTGCTAAGGATCAAACCCAGTGCCTCACACATGCTAGGCAAGTGCTCTGCCACTGAGCTACAGCCCCAGCCCAGAATTATTTATTAGTATATGGAAAAATTTAAGCAATCAGCTTAGACTTTCTCTTTTAAAATTTTGTTTAAATGCCTTTTTTTTTTTTATCTTAAAAGTCTAGATTGCACAGAGAGGATAATTTTAAGTCCTATCTCAGAATGAATCACCTCACAGGCTTCTAAACATTCCAGTAGAGATGTGATTGTTAGAAGATTTTCAGTCCTAAAACTGCATTAGAGGCCAACAGTTGAGTCCTGACAATTGAGTCCTGGCAAGTCAAGTCATTAAACTTCTCTGTTCTGTTTTTTTTTTTTTTTTGGTACATAAAATATGGTTGATGGTACCACCTTCCTGATGAGATTTTTTTTTTTTTAATTAATGAGGGGCACTGGTTGTGTTATAAACTATGAAGTCATGAGAAATCTTTTTTTTTTTTAAGTATTTGGTGGACACAACATCTTTGTCTGTATGTGGTGCTGAGGATCGAACCCGGGCCGCACGCATGCCAGGCAAGCGCGCTACCGCTTGAGCCACATCCCCAGCGCCCATGAGAAATCTTAATTGGGCTTGCTTTACCTGTACTCAGAGAAATGGTTGTGTTGTAAACCATAAACCAGTATCATATCTTACTTGACTTTTTAACCTACATTCAAAAGGATAAATTTAGCCTATTAATTCACTAAATATTTATCTAGGTTTTCTATATGACAGCCGTTGTAGTAGGATTTAAAGTCATACTTAGATCAGATCCTCTGAAGCCTGGGGCTGGCCTAGTGCTAGGGCTGGTGAGGACCCTTCATCTCTCAGGACTGTTCTGCAGCCTAGGATAATGGATGCTGGCCTGGTGCCAGGAACCACTGGGGCTGACTTGTATAGCCTGGGTCAGCTGATGACAGCCTATAGGTTTAGGTCCAAAAGGATGGCCCAAGTCCTGTAGCACAGCCTGAAACCTGGGTCTTCAGGGGCAATCTGGAGCTCAGATCTGTTGGGGCTGGTCTAGCACAGATCTAATGGGATAAGTCTGGATGTGGGGGCCAGCCAGTGCTGGGGCCATTCCAGAACCTTAAGCTGCTTGGGTTGACCTGGCACTGGGCCAGAGACAGAGCTGGACCTGGTCCCTCAGGGGCTGGCTAGGTGTTAGGCATACCTGCAGGGATAAATAAAGCCTTACTTCTTCACATATGCAGACATCAGCATAAAGCAACAGAAAATGTGAAGAACCAAGTCAACAAGAAGTGTGGGAAATCAGCTAAAGAACACAATAATCTCGCAGTTACTGACACCAAAGAAAGAGAGATATATGAACTCCCTGACAAAGAATTGTTTTCAGGTGGCTTAGTGAACTTCAGGAAAATAACAGAGAAATAATTCAGTGAAATTCAGAAAACAATAAGAGACCAAAATTTGAGAAAATCAACAGAGATTGAAATTACATATGTCAAAAAAAAAAAAAAAAATCAGCCAGGCATGGTGGTGCACACCTGTAATCCCAGAGACTCCAGAGGCTTGAGGCAGGAGGATCACAAGTTCAAAGCCAGCCTCCATGACATAGCAAGGCCCTAAGCAACTTAGCAAGACCCTGTCTCTAAAACTAAATAAGAAAGACTGGGGATGTGGCTTAGTGGTTAAGTGTCTCTGGGTTGAATCCCTGATATGAGAGAGAGAGGGGGTGGGGGAGGGAGAGAGAGAGAGGGAGAGAGAGAGAAAAAAAAGAAAAGGAAAGGAAAGAAACAGAGAAAGAGGGAGGCAGAAATTCTGAAGCTGAAGAACACACAAAGAAACTTGCCAGGTAAGATGGCACATGCCTATAATCCCAGTGTTTTGTGAGGCTGAGACAGGCAAGTTCAAAGCCAGTAAAGCCAGTCTCAGCAATGATGAGGCACTAAGCAACTCAGTGAGAACTTGTCCCTAAATAAATACAAAATAGGGCTGGGGATGTGGCTCAGTGGTTGAGTGCCCCTGATTTCAATCCCTGGTCCCTGCCAACCCCCTCAAAAGAACTCAAATACACCCTAATGTTGCACCTTAAGGAACTACATAAAGAAGAAAAACCCAAGCCCAAAGTTTAGAAGGAAAAAATAATAAAGATCAGAGCAGAGTAGACTATAAAAATAATAGAAAAGATTAATGAAAACAAGACTTGGATTTTTTTAAAATATTTTTTTAGTTGTTGATGGACCTTTATTTTATTTATTTACATATGGGGGCTAAGAATTGAACCCAGTGCCTCACACATGCTAGGGAAGCCTCCTCCACTGAGCTACAACCCCAGCCCCAAGACTTGGGGAGATAAACAAAATTGAAAAGCCTTTAGCTAAACTAATAAAGAGTGAAGATTCAAATAAATGAAATTACAGATGGACAGTAGAGATATTACAAGTAATACTATAGAGATACAAAGGTAAAGAGACTACTGGGAACAATTTTGTGCCAACAAATTAATAATTTAGAAGAAACTGACAAATTTCTATATACATGCAACCTACCAAGGCTGAATCATGAAGAAATAGAAAATCTTAGCATATCAGTAATGAGTAAGGAGATTGAATCAGTAATAAAAAGTCTTCCATCAAAGAATAGCCCTGAACCTGATGGATTTCCTGATAAGTGCTACAGATATTTAAAGAACTAATACCAGTCCTCCCCAAACTCTACCCAAAAATTGAAGAAAGGAGGTATTTCATATCTCATTTTACAAGGCTAGCCTTACCCTGATAACCAATATCAGACATGGATACTAGAAAAAATTATAAGGTAATATTCTTGATGAATATAGATACAACATCCTCAACCACATAACAAATGAGAGAGCCCAACAGTACATTCATTCATTTATATTCAATTGATTTTCAACAAAGGTGCTAAGAATACACAGTGAGGAAAGGACCATCTGCTCAATAATGGTGCTGGGAAATGTTGGGAAATACTGGGTATCCATATTGCACGAGAATGAAATTAGATCCTCATGTTGTACAATACAGAAACATCACATCAAAATCGATTAAAGACAAAACATAAAGCCTGAAAACTAAAACCACTTGAAGAAAATGTGGGGGGAAGCTTCATGATTTTGTGGATATGATTCCAAAAGCAGAGAGAGCAAAAGTAAAAAGAAACAAATTGAATTATATTAAACTAAAAAACATGCACAGTAAAGGAAATAGCTTAATAGAAAATGGGCAAAGCATATGATTTTTAGTTTTGGTACCAGGGTTACTGAACCACTGAGCCACATCCCCAGCCCTTTTTTAATGTTTATATTGAAATAGGGTCTAACTTAGGGACACCCTAAGTTCCTGAGGTTGGTCTTGAAATCTTCCTGCTTCAGCCTCCTGAGTCACTGGGATTACAGGTGTGTGCCACTGCACCTGGTATATATTTTAAGTTTTCAAAAAATAAATTGCTTCTTTAATTTTCTCCCTTAGGTGACTGATTTCCCCTCTAGACACTGTTCCCTCGATCATTTATTTTTAAATTGTGAAGAGGTACATTCTGTGTGAGCTACAAACTAAACCTATGTGAACAGTTGTTAATGTTAAAATCGAATAAAACGTGTAGTAAATTGAGGCTGATACATTTAATGGCTTATATAAGTTATTGTGCTGCATGGTAATTAAGGCTTAAATGATAAGCAGTTTCCATATATTATTATAATTACTTTTCCTTAGTAACTCAGAATATCTGGGGGTCATCTAGAGGAAGTATGATTGTGGTGAAGAAGTGGATTTATGGGGCAGAGTCTACTCCCTTGACAGAGGTGGGCATTGGGAGGTAGAGGTGGTTACCACTGTTCTATGTTTACCTCTTCTTTGTTTCAGAGAAATTAGGCTCAGTAAAGCAAAGTAACTTATAAGGCATCACAACTAATTAGTAATAAAGCTAGGGTTCACAGAGTATATTGAATCCCAAAGTTCTAAATCCATGACACTGCATGAAAACAGTGACATTTTCAGCACCTGTAAAAGGCAGTGTCAGTATGCATGTGGAAGAATTTTGAAAAGCCACTACTTACTAGTACCTGGAACTAGATCACAGCTCTATGAATCCTTGATGGTTTTTGTTTGTTTGTTTGTTTGTTTTTTGGTATTGTTTGAACAGATTGGTTTCCTGCCAAATCTAAATGAAGGTTTTATATGGAGATAGGAAAAGATTGGAGATAATTTCTGAACTTATAGTCAGGTATAGGAGT